GCACATCGCCAACTTAGGGGGGCCTCCTGTACCAACCAAGTGACATCAGAGGGCTAAGCACCTGGCCTCCGCCGGCGCTTCTCGGGGACTCGGGGTCAAGGGCCAGCACTTCCCGAGTCACAGTTTGCATCACTGTCCATCCCACTGTCTCGCTGAGATGTCTTCAGACAGAAAGACGCCCTCCAAGCGGCTCCGGGCCACAGCCTGCTGCAGTTCCCGATGCCTGCCACAAGGTGGCAGCCACAATCCAGAACACAGTCCTGGGGAGGGTGGGTGGGTGGGGGCAGAGGGGAAGGGGCCCAGAAAAGACAGGACAGGAAGGGCAGTGGAGAGAATACAACAGCCCGGGAGAGAAGGGACAGGAGACAGAAGGAGGAAGAGGAATGAAAGGGCAGAGAGAGAGAATAAAAGGGTGAGTGATAAGCAAGAAGGAACCGAACTCCACAATGGGAATTAATGCACATGAAAAACAGAGTAGTTAGCTGTGGGTTTTTTCCCCAAAGGGATAGTTTTGGAAAAGCAGGAAACGCCATGGACTAGAGGAGTCCAGGGAGACTTCACACGGGGGCAGGAGCTGAGCTGGGTTATTCACCTCCAGCCCCAGCCCGGGCCCACAATCGCTACTTGCTGAACTAAGCACGAACTGAACCATTTTGGGGGGAATTCCAGTTACAGTGCTGTCAATGGAACATGTCCTCCGTGCACCAGCCCATTTAACCCTCACAATTACTCCCTAAATGGGTGCTATTATGTGTCCGGTTTTACAGATCAGCAAACTGAGGCACAGGGATGTGGTGGGGACCGGGCTCAGACCTCCTGTCCTGAGGTCACCAGCCAGAGGTCACTTTGGGGAGTCTGAGGCTTCACACTGTGTCCACCATTCCCTCTCCAGAAGCCACCTGACTCACCAGTAAGGCGTTCCGATGAAGGAATCTCGTTTCTGCAGAGTTTTCAGATTCTTGGCAGACACACCAAAGTCAGCTGCAAGACACAAACCTCAGATAGAGTATTCGGCACACATTCCCCACCCACGGCCTGGGTGTGGTTTCGGAGACACCCGCTCCAGATCAGCCACCAAATACCAACTTCTATCTCGCAAACTAGTGATCATTAAAAATGCATCTGCTGCCCTAACCGGTTTGGCTCAGTGGATAGAGCGTCGGCCTGCGGACTCAAGGGTCCCAGGTTTGATTCCGGTCAAGTGCATGTACCTTGATTGCGGGCACATTCCCAGTAGGAGATGTGCAGGAGGCAGCTGATCGATGTTTCTCTCTCATCAATGTTTCTAACTCTCTATCCCTCTCCCTTCCTCTCTGTAAAAAACCAATAAAATATATTTTAAAAAATAAATAAAAATGCATCTGCTGTCAGGATGTACTGAGACACGAACTTCCTACTTGCTAATGAGAGAATAACTGAAGAGCCTTCTTCTAGAAAAGCAGTTTGACAACAAATCACAAGAATCTTCAAAATACCCAGACTCTCTGAGCCAGTAATTCCAAATCGCGACATCTACCCAATAAAATCATCCTACATAAAATGAAAACTGTGCACACCCATGTTCACCAAAGTGCTACTGTTACGGACAAATTAAAAGCAACCATAACTGCTTAGCTTTCAGGGAGCAGTTTTAATTAGCGATGATCGTACCTTGGGTACACCCCAACGGCTACGGAACTGTCACTAAGCAAGCTTAGGGAGTAATTTTAAATGTTTCACATACACTACATAACACACCCTGTGTTTTCCACAGGGATTTAAGATGCTCTCTCCCTCTCTCTCTCTCTCTCTCTCTCTCTCTCTCTCTCATACACACGCGCGTGCGTAAATGGAGAAATTAGGAGAGGTAAGGTAAGGTAAATGGTAAACAATCAGACAGGTTAAGAAAAGTATTATAGCCCTGGCCGGTTTGGCTCAGTGGATAGAGCGTCGGCCTGGGGACTGAAGGGTCCCGGGTTCGGTTCCGGTCAAGGGCATGTGCTTTGGTTGCGGGCATATCCCCAGTGGGGGGCGTGCAGGAGGCAGCTGATCGATGTTTCTCTCTCATCGATGTTTCTAACTCTCTGTCCCTCTCACTTCCTCTCTGTAAAAAATAAATAAAATATATTAAAAAAAAAAAACAACAAGAAAAGTATTATAAACCCCATATGATGGAATGTTTTATAGTCTTTAAAATTAGTATTTAAGTATTTTATTCCATACTTTAATACTAAATTATGCATATTAATAGATATCAATATTAAACATTTACTATGTATTTAATATTAACATTTACTATGTAAATGCTTTAATACTTAACAATATGAAGATATTTTATGTCTATACTTATAAGCTAGGTGGGAAAGGGGAGATGCACAGGTGACTATATTGTACGGTCAAAATTATGCCCATCTCCCCAAAAAGGGCAAGAATGTACGTTGACCTGACGTGGGGGACATAACCAAACTGTGTACAGGATTGTCTGTGGGTGGTGAGACCTGACAGGTTTCTTCTGACTTTCAGAATTCCTCACATTTGCTATGGTGAGCATGTATGACTTTCAGGACTAACAAAAAATGAATATAACTTATCTTTTTGTTTTGTTTTTTATTGATTTAGAAAGAGAGAGAGAGAGGAACATCGATTATGCAGTCACTGGTTGATTCTTGTTTGTGCCCTGACCAGGGATGGAACCTGAAACCTTGGTGCACTGGGCAGATGCCCTAACCAACTGAGCTACCAGCAGGGCAAACCGTTTCTCTTCAAGCCCCACACCCAGCGCCACCAGCGCACCGAGAAGAATCCAGTGCTGCCAGGGAATCTTCCCAGCGCCCTGGACTTTGGGGCATAGTTTCATCTTGATTAAAAAATAAACTCAGGAGGAAGCAACACCCTGAGAGAGCGGGCAATGGTCAGCTTAGCTTTGTCGCGTTGTTACAACCGCAGCCACTCCTGGGGCCTCCGCCTGAGTCTCAGAATGAGCCGCCCTGAACCCCGGCAGGTGACAGCACTGAATTCAATCCCCACGATTACAAACCAGGGGGCAGCACATCGCCGAGTGGGCCTGAGTGCCAGGAAGTGGGGCTCCGGTCTTGGCTCTTGTATTTCACGGGGCAGCAGATAAGGGGGGAGCAGGCAGGGAGCGGGGCAGTTCCCAAACCCGACCCTCAGTTTCCCGGCCTGTGACGGGGATGGTGACATGACACCGTGGAACTACGTTGTCGGGAGGATTAAATGACGCGGGAAAGCACTCGGCTCCGGCCCCCGAGCCAGGAGCCTGAGATTTGTAGGCTGGGGCAAGGCTGAGGTTAGGAGAGCTGGTCTCTGACCCCAGCTGCTCAGACAGCAGTGGCTCAGCTGATGACGACCCTTGACCCTGGCAGGGACAGTCTGGCCTGAGAGGGAGGTACCAACCCAGGTGAGGACCCAGCGCTGCTGCTCCCCGCCCCTGGACAGCCAGCTTCCGGCCGGGCCCTAATGAACGCCACAGGCGTGTTGTATGTGCCCCGTGCAACCACAACCGAACACGGATCTGGAGGCTGACCGAACGCGCTGAGCAGACTCCTTCTCCGGGGACGCAGTGGTCCGCGAACAGTGCACTGAAAACGCCTTACGTTTTTATTGCTTGAACCCTCTTCCTATAAGAGAACTTTTTACTTTTTAATGTGTTCTCAGTCATTCTAGTGAAGAGGAATGAAGAGGCATAATCAACCATTGATGATAGAAAACATTACTGACTGGCCGCCTCCTGCACGGCTCTCTACTGAGTATTCGGTCTGGAGACAGTCCATGTCTCGTGTCCAGGTCTTTAACCATGGGAACCGCCGTGGGTAGGCGAGTTTCCCA